CCCACACACCCACACACCCACACACCTTACGGTCAGGATTTGCTCGCAATCCCTTGGAGGTGGACTCTCTCTGTGTGTGTGTGTGTGTGTGTGTGTGTGTCTGTCTCTACCTTGCGGTGAGGCTTTTGCTCGCTTTTCCTCGATGGTGGAGACTCTCTCTCTCTCTCTCTCTCTCTCTCTCTCTCTCTCTCTCTCTCTCTCTCTCTCTCTTTGTCTCTCACACACACACACTGACACAGACAATGGCACATTCATGCTTTTTTTTGGAGTTCTGTATAGCGGACATGACAACACACAGACAGTGGCACGGGCACACAATGACACTCCCGAAGATTGACACAAACACACAAAATGACATACACACACACACACACACACACACACACACACACACACACACACACACACACACACACACAATGACACTCCCAAAGATTGACACAAACACACAAAATGACATACACACGCACACACACACACAGACACACACACACGCACACACACACACACACTCACAACCACAAAACCACACACATACGAGGACATTCCCTTTGCTTGCGTCTCCTCCGGTCGTGTTATCCTGCGCCCTATCTTCCCCTCTGTTGTCCTCCTCTTTCGCTTCTACTTCCTCTTCTTGGTTCCTCCTCCCTTTGTCCCTCCTTTCCCTTGTCTTCTTCCCTTCCTTCTCCTTCCTTCCTTCCTTCTCCTTCCTTTCTTCTTTCTCCTTCATCTCCTCCTGTTCCTTCGCTCATTCCCGCCTTTTCCGTCCTTCCACCGCTCTCTTTCTGTAATGTCCTCCCTTCCTCACTTCAACTCTCCCCCCCGCCTTCCTTCCGTATGTCGTCTCAGAGACGTGGCTGCGCATGGACATTTATAGATCGTTGTTGCATTGATCCCGATCTGGATGAAAACGCTTTCTTTTCTTCTTTTTTCTCCTTTTTTTCCCATTTTTTTTTCTTTTTCTTTCTTGGACATAGACGATCATAACTGCTGCAATCCTGATATTATAGTTTTTCTTCGTCATTTAATTGAATTATTAATAATTCTTATACATTATGCTTACTTATTCAAAGCGCAGTCGCGAATCAACATTCCTGCAAATACCCCATACATGTAATAATGCCTACCACCGCTCTCTTTCTGTAATCTCCTCCCTTCCCCCCTGCAACTCCCCCCCTGCATCTCCCCCCTTGCATCTCCTCCCCCCTCCTTCCTTCTTGAAGACCACATCGTTAAAAGAAAAAAAACAAAGACCAAACTCTGGTGTCTCAAGTGCAGGACATGATTCTTAGAATCGCCCTAAGTGTTGTAATCAATTCCTTTTTTTTTTTTTTGTTTAGGATCAGATATTAAACTGATCAGAATTCTCAATTCCATAACTGGAGCCTTGGGCACCGGGCCCTGTTTTGGGAAAAAAAAAATTAAAAAAAAATCGCCCTAAGACTTGGCGATCATACAGTAATGGTTCTTCACGTGTCGATCTGTTCGTTTTCCTTTCCCTGAGATACGTAAACGCACCAGGCTCTTTTTTTTTTTGTGGGTTCTTTTTTACGGGGGCGAGGTCCCACTAGCAAAGAGGATTGAATTAAGCGCCTGAATCTGGATGGGTACTGAGCAAAGAGACGGAAATGCAGATCAGTCGCGATTCCCTGCACCTATCCGAAAACCCGCCCAGATTCAGGCGTTCTATCCAATCCTTATTGCTGGTGGTACCTCACCCCTGGTGAATTTCTCGATCAATCAGCTTGGGCCATCGTGGGACTCAAAACCAGAAGTAAAAAAAACGAAAGAAAGAAAAAAAGAAAAGGAAACAAAAAGGAAAAAAGGTCAAAAAGGTCAAAAAAAGGAAAAATACCTTTCTCGGCCTTTTTTTTTTTTTTTTTCCTCGGCCTTTTGGCTAAGATCAAGCGTAGTATCTGTTCTGATCAGTTATTATTAAATTAATTTTTCTGGGCCACGGAGGGGTCGTACGGGTAAGTTTGCTTACTCGACCCCTCCAGTGTTGCCTCTGTATTGCACTGCAAAAAAAGAAAAAAAGAAAAAAAGAAAAAAAAAAAGAAAAAGACAAAAAAAAAAGAAAAAAAGAAAAAAGAAAAAAAAAAGAAGCAAAAAAGACAAAAAGAGAGATTCCCCACCCGAACGGGCCGCAATAGGTGGGTATCAGGAGCATGGTCCCACTAGCAACGGGGATTGGATTAAGATCCTGAATCTGGGCGTGTTTTAGGCACAGATGCAGAAAGGGAGTTCAATCTTGATTTTCTGCACTCGTCCACAAACGCGGCCAAAGTGGACCTCGGCCCCGGCCTGCTCTCCGTTCTGACCCTGGACTGCGATAAACCCCTTTTTTTTTTTTTTTTTTTTTTTAACCCTCTTGGGGCGTAAGATTTGTATTTGTCACCGCAATAAGGCCGAGAGTAACCTTTTAGCGGGACTCGAACTCAGCACCTCCCTGTGCTATCCATGCTAATTACTGAAATGCCCCTCTTTGCATTCGTTCCATTTTGACGGATGTCTCCAAGGACTATCCTTCTATCGCTCCTCCTCCTCCTCCTCCTCCTCCTCCTCGCAGCATCATCATCTCCTCATCCTCATCGCAACCATCCTCCTCCTGCTGCCGTCATCGTCGTCATCATCAACTTCAGCGCTGTCATGCGCAAGGAGGGAGGGCGATATCCCTCCTGCCGAGTGTTGTCATCAACTGCTTATCCCTTTTGTTTTTTTGACCCCCTCAAAATTCAGCATTCCTGAATTATATCGCGAGCAGCTATTGCACAAAAGAAGCAAAACAAAGAAAAGACTGGGCAGGCCTTTTGGCTAAGATCAAGTGTACTATCTGTTCTGATCAGTTTAATATCTGATCCGTGGTCCATCGGGAAAAAAAAAAAAAAAAAAAAAAAAACTGTGGAACTGTACCAACGCGCCCCGCTCCGTCACTAAAGACCCAGTCGCAAAACCCACTGGTTGCAGATGAGTAAAAGAGCAGCTCGGAATCTACCCAGGGCAGGTCATTTCGAAAACACGTGGAAAAAAAAAAAAAAAAGTAAAAAAAGTGAAGGCACTTGCCCCACAGTAGATGACCAGGGGTTGCAATTCACGGGACGGGACGGATTCCTACTAAATCTTTGAGAGAAATAGCATAATCTTCTTTATTTTATTTTATTTTTATCTCCCCCACCCCCCCCTCCCCCCCTCCCTACTTAGTCCTTTTCATTTGCTTTTCGAATGGGGGGTGGAGGGCTCGTAGTACCTTTATTTACAGCAGCAGACTAGGTAGCAATTGGCGCGCAGCGCTGGTCTGGTTGTGTACACAGTCAGCAGAGGGGAAGGAGCCTTAAGGGATGGACTCGAACGCTTGCGCCAATGGATCACGAGGATTTGCTATCGGGAACCCTCAACGAAATTGACGAAGTTGGGAACAGAAGGAGGATACAAATCCGCTGACTCAATCCTTTTCCATAGGATCGACTCAGTCGGTCGGGATTTGTATCATTCAAAAACGAATTGAATCCCCTGGGAAAAAAAAAAAAAAAAAAAAAAAAAAAAAATGCCATTTCAGTGAGGTGATCGACTCGCAAAGATTTTAACGACAGGCGGTCCTGAAACCATTTAATTTGGACGAGTTAGATTTGGCCCACCTGTCGTCGTTAACCACGTCCCTTGATCGGTGGACTCGAAGCCTCTCTTGCCCTCATAGGATCAGAAGGATTTCCTATCGGGAAACCGCAACGAAGTTAGTTGACTAAGTTAGGACGAGAACGATACAGATCCCCTGACTCAATCCTATCACATAGGATTGAATCAGTCAGTCGGAATTTGTGTCGTTCAAAAAAAATATTTAATCCCCTCAAAAGAGTTTAACGAGGTGATTTTAATGAAATGCGATTTCGTGACGTGATCGACTCGCAAAGATTTTAATGGCAGGCGGTCCTGAGAGCATTAAAATTGGGACGAGTCAGATTTTAGCCCACTCGTGGTTAACCACTTCCCTTGAATGACGTCTGGGTCTGAGCATCTGGTAAGTGGTTTTGACAGATGGGGGCTATGGAGGTGGGTCGTCCAGTGGTGTTCCATTTGCAGTCCTGTGGATAGAAAGCCAGGTTTTCGAAGCAGCTGTCCCCTTGAAAATCAAAGGGGTTCTCTCTGTGTTTTTTTTTTTTTTTTTTTTTTTTTTTTTTTTTTTTTTTGTTGTTGTTGTTGGAAAACATCTGCGGGAGCCTACTATTGGAAGTGATATGAGAATTCCCCAATAGTAGGCCCTAGTGATAGATGGCTCCAACCTATTGGTGGGAAGCAGCACCTGCTGGAAACTGGGTCCAGCGTCCCACTTACAGTACTGGAGCAGGTCATGTCAATCAGTCATATCATGCGGAACAGCATTGATTGCCCTCTTCAGAAGGGATTAACTGTCCGCCTATTTATAGGTGAGGTTACATCATCCCTGTGACTCCAATTGCAACTGCCGAAACCCATACGGAATTACCTAGACCATCCTTAAACCCCCTCCCAGCCTAAGGATGCAGGTGAAATTGAGGACGCCAGTTGTAGCCTTACC